ATTCACTTCTCCTTTTTCCCGACAGTAGTACTCGAGCCGTTGTCTCTCCAGCTCGCCTTTCACGGATACTTACCGTTACACGCTCTCGCATTATTAGCGTAATCATAGCGCAGCCCGATGTCGGGAGCGTGGCCTACATTTTCTCAATGTATAATCAATGATTATTTCTTCCACTGTTACGAATAATCCTTTTCCGTTTTTGCCGCTCTCCTGATTTCAGCTTTCATGTTGCGACGGTATCGGCCCAGAAGCCGAACGCAATTTGTGCGTGATTTTTTTTAGCAAAGATTTAAAATGGCAAAATGAGACGCTTATTCGATCTATACTCTCCGCATTCCGCGGATAGCAAGATATTGTAAATTAAATAAAAGAATTAAAGAAAAGATATTGTAATTTTCGCTTTTCAATTTTTGCAAACTTGTTAAATCCGCGGGCTTAGTTCAAATCTGGAGGAATGAGTATAACAAATAAACGGACGAGACACGAGGAGAAAGCCTTTTCCGTGGACTTTCAATGCGCCTATTGCACGCAGGCCTCTTATTGCATCCCTACCTTCGGGCATCCTCTCTCAGTCTCTCCTCGCTTGTCTTTCCTCATTGGCTTGCAGCACGGCGTATCTCTCCGCCGCCGCCTCCGGAGGCAGAAAAACCTGACCTATCGTACGCTGTCCTCTTCTCTCTTTCTTTCCCTCTCCACCGTTCTCTAACGCCGGTCTAACGCCGCCCTAGAGTCAATCCTTTCACTGCCACGCGAGCGGCAACTTAACGATGTCATTTCGGGCCAACGACCGCTGGATGCGGTTCGAACTTCGGTCGGACTCGAGAGTTCGTCCTCAGCGCGACTATGAAGGATGTAATAATAAAAATTATAAAATGATTTATGAAATTATTATGGCAAGAAAATGTCATTAATAAACGATGACTCGAAATCGTTGATTCACCGCGAAATGTCCTTGAATGAAGATGGAAAGAATTATGAGAATGTGTGGAAAGGACGAGAGTGCACAGGACCCAAATTTATCGGCAATGATTGCACGGACCATTGGCATCTTCGGGCGCTGCCGCCGTGTGTATTTTTCTCCTTTTTTTTTCCTTTAATCATGTGCGAGAGCGTGCTTCTGGAATTATTTATAAACCGGTTTGGTTTCCGAAGCCGTGTATCTGTAGACGGAAACGCCAATAACTCTCCTGGCTCCCGCGCATAAAAAAAAAACCGACAAACAGGAACAGATTTAGCGAGGTTATCGCGGATCTCTCATCTCTGTAGTATCTTATTTATATACTGATTATACTGCTTGTTGACGTGTTACCGAGACTTTTTCGCCATGGTGAATCGTCGATTTTGCGACGGCAAGGTATCGCCTATAAAAAGAAAAGTCTGAGGTCTCATCTCGGATCCTCGGATTTCATCTTGGATCTCCCTTTCCTCTCCTGCCCATTTCGAGTCGATTCTCCGTCCGATTCGCATCTTTACCTTCTTCCCTATTCTTCGCTCCCCTGCCGTATCAGCAGTTTTTCCGTATAACTGTCGTCAGATTTTGTAAGAAGTATTTTGATGAATTACGAAATTTTAAAATATTTTTCATACTTTATAAATCTTTAATAAATTATGTGATTTATAAAAATTGATAGCTATTCAAGTACACTTAAGATTACGCGATTTAATAATTTTATTTAGCTTATGATGCAATTCCCATTGTTTTTACTGCTGTGATAATGACGATAAAGAATAATAACGATAATAATAAGTCGGTATGAATGCGAGAAACATATAAAATTCATACCGATGCACGATTATCATAGACCATATTGCGAATCGCTAAAATAACAGAACGTATGATAAAGAAGTCTCTTCGACTATTCTACTTTCTTTTCACGTTCGAGTAACGGCCATTGGCTACTCGGGAGATCAATATGCGCAATATATGCTGACATCGACTTGAGGTATGCAGATCATAAAGCGCTTGCCAATGTCTCGACACGATTTTGCAATGGAGATGTATTCGATCTCCATTGCGAATTGTTGTACTCAAAGTTACAACAGTCCTGAAGTGAATACTCGTTCGAAGAAATGAGTAATTTACTTTATAAATAGTATTATTATACTATGTGCAGTTTTAAGTAGTAATTATAATAATTAAGAAAAAGAATTAGTATCTCAAATTACACGCGATAAAAAATATCTTTAATTGTAACGATCTTGGCTACATCTTTTCATTAACGTTTTACAATAGCGTGACCGAAACGGTACCGAAAACGGGCTCCAGGGCTCTCTTTCCTTCTCACCTCAATCGCCAATCCGCCTCCGTCTAACATCGCTATTAATTCGCTCGTGTTTTGACGTGTATTTTTATCTCCTGCACGTGTAGAGACACGATCCCCAAGAGATTACTGCTCGCGATCGATCACGGGACGTGACGGGCGCGTCTGATATGCATATGACAACGGTTTACACGTGTCAGAATTATGGCGCTCGCCAAAAGAAGCGGAGCGGAGCGAAGCGAGGCTGTATGCGCGCGTAGGCATGCAAATCTCACGTGGGTAATTTACTCGCGTATATATATAAGAATACGAAGAATATCACCGGGTTTTCCCGTATTCTTTTTGTCGCTCTTTTTCCCCTCTCTCTCTTCCCCCCCTTTCTATTTCCACACATATTCTTTACGCTTGATGTTACGCACGTCTGTTTATTTTCAGTTAAGTACTGTGCACTACCCTTGTAGCCTGTTTAACTACTACCTTTCTGCCTTTTCATCCTTCTCCCGTTCGCTTTCGCCCGTAATTCCATGGTTAGCTGGATAATAGTTATGTAACCGTTAACGCAGCCCCGCGATATACAGAGTGCAACCGAGCTAATCGTCAAATATTTGCTGAGCCGTATTGCAACGGTCCCGCCGCTATCTCGCGCTCTGCGCCTCTTACACACACTCCTCCCCCTCCCCCTTGTCTTATCCGTCTGTTTGTGCACGCGTGACGAATGCTTGCGCAGCAGCAACAGCAGCAGCAGCATCAGCAGCAGCAGCAGCATCATCGTCGCACGAAGCACGGTGGCGACCACGGCCAACAGGATTTTCTGCGGAGAGGCCTGCGAGTCCCTGACCAACCGCACCCTGTCTCATAACGCGGCACGAACAAATGAGAGAAACGCCTCTCTCGAGAGATGTGCCGCATAATGTTTTTTTTAAAAGAAGAAATAATGAAAATTGAACAATTATTCTCATATATTAATATATAATGATTAAATAAGGCAAGATTTTGATGCTTATTTTGTATAATTTAGAAGAGGATACGTTCGCGCAACCATCGGATAATTATTCTCGCTCTTGAATTAAGACTACAGTATTGAAAGAATATTCAAATACTCGCAAAAGTACGTATATACGTATACATGCATAATACTCGTTATTATTAGAAAGTTCATGACACGCCAGGAAACGTAGCAAGATTATGCGAGGTGATTTTTGAAAATCGATCGGTCGATATTTCACGATTGGCCGCTTATCGTACAGGTGCCGATAAGCGGATAAAGGTCAGAGAGTAGAACAACGTGGACGTGGTACCTCTTGCGATAGTACACGCCGAGTTAAATATAAAAGCGCTGTGACACCGACTGCGCGTGAAATTGTTAGATGCCGGGGCGTCGTGCACGCATCTCGTTATTTACGCTAATCCACTGTTCCTCTGGTTAACGTTGGTAATTTTATTTAATTACTTAGGTCTGCCATGCAGCTCGAAGTAGTGCGTGCCGCATTATTGGAAGCAAGGAAGTATAATATTAAAAAAGAAAATTAATATATAAAAATGCTAAAGAAGGACGACTGTACATAATAATACACTAGTTTGCTGTTTCTTCGTTGCCACTCATAATCTTATTTAATAATAAAAATCGCGCATTTTTTTAACGCAACTTGAAACAGCACACGCAAAAAACACAATGTTATCCAAAAGGATCATTATTAATTTAATTATTATTGTCATACGAAAGGAAGAGGTAAAATATTATTTTAATACATAGGCTCTTATTTTTTACAAACTTCTAGTTTTAATTCTGGCAGCATTTTTTATGTCGAGTGAAATATATTTTAAGAAATTAAGACAAGGTTATTAATTTTTTAATTTGTGAAACGTCGCCGGGAGACGGAAAGCGCGCTTTCCGGACGAGCGACCGCACGCAACCTTGACGCGTTTCGTTTAAAGAATGCCGAACGCACCCAACGTCTATGAATATTTGCCGGAAATCACTTGACAAACGCGACTTTCTCGGTCTCCGCTGCAGGCAAATAATGGTGACTCCGCGATAAGAGCTGTCGTCGCCGTAGCGCTTCCTGCGCGACGCGCGGTGCGGTGCGCCGGCATGCTGCCGTAAAAATTGTCCCGCCGTTATAATAAATTGCCTCCGCGATTCCCGACGACGTTGCGAAAGAAAGTTTTCTGCTGAATCCGACGAGGACTCCCAGGAAGACTCGACAGAACGAGAGAATCTATTGGGAGAGAAGAAGGTATCTTCGCGACGGTTTTTGCACGCGGGCAACTCGTGGATACACTTATACTACTTTGTTCGTATTGCTCCAAAGGGAAGATCACTATGGTCAGCTCAACCGCAACCTTAAAGACTTGTTGGTCATACTGTGATCAATTATTATACTGATAGTCTTACGATCGTTGAAAATATAGCCGATGATTTTTGTTTGTTCTCTCTTATTGTCCATTCAATATATACAATAATCACACTGAGAATTGTCGAATGAGTTTTTGTTTTGTTACCTTGTTCGTAATTGCGGGTTACAAACATATTTTCGAGGGAAGTTAAAGTACTAATAGTGTACAATGTTGCACAATTCGAGTTTTCAACGCAAAAATATTGTAACACAGGGTAGGAAATAATTTCTCGTAATAATTCATTAAGTTTTTTGAGCGCTTCAGTTATTTTTTGCGGTCTATTTTAAATTGGATACTTTCGGGCAAATTTTTTACGAAGGTGTGTCGTCGTTTTTGTTGCAGGACAGCGAACACCTAATCACACTCGCGCACTTGTCGGACTACAACGTCTACAGGATACCGAACGCGAAGCGGGTTTTTGGCGCACCCTTCGAGTGGGGCGCCTGCCTAAGGCCGAACAGCAACGCCGAGGCCGAAGACACGGAGGCTGGGGAGCCCGGGATCAAGGTCATTACATTCGAGAACGAAAAATCGCGCACCTGCTGGCTCACAGCCATGAGACTCGCTAAGGTAAGCAGGGTGATTCCTCTTCCTCTCACTCCGTATTGTCGTTATCTATTTGAAGAATACAGCGTAGTACGGAGATTCGAGTGCATCGCGAACAGTTTCGGAGTGAATACATCAATGGAAGAACCAGTTGAACGAAATTGTTGCTCGCCCGAACGGAAATGTATCATTACCTAAAGTGTATTCTTCGCTATATCGATTAGAATTGCAACGAATGTTGGCGGAGAATTATACACGTAGAAAGTGTATAATTGAAGATTAATGATACGGAGAGTATTACAAATGACCATCAGTAAATAATCGCTTCAATTTATAAGTAGAAAGCTAATATCAACCGGAGAAACAGGTACTTAAATTTGCGGCGAGGATAATAACGTTTCGCTACAATGTTCGTTTCCCAGACGATTCCGCGTCTTCTTATTCGACTCTCGGCTCTTCCTTCACGACGTGATCATCCCTCTGCGGACGGGCCGTGGGTATCATTAGGTCTGTGATGGAGCCGGGTATAATGAGCCTTATTTTCTTTCCGTTCCTCCCCATTCTTACCGCGCCCGCGTTCGCGTCGACGTCGAATGTCGAAACTTGGTTGAAGTTCAAAGAAGTTGCGTGACTCGCGCGCGGTTCGTGTTTAACGGAGAGAGACGAACGCTTCACTCTTGTCGACATGCGTATATACACACTATACCACGCAGCTTCAGCACGTTTCGCATGGCTAAATTTCTTTTCTTCCTCTTTTAGACAAGTCGTGGTACTGACACGGTGCACTTTTTTTTACCTTCCTTTTTTTTTACAAAAATTGAGACACCGGGGCTCTCTTTTCTCATCGTCGCTGATATAATCGGTTTATATTCGAGCGCGGACAGCCTTTGTCTTTTCTCTTCTTCTTTCTTTCTCTCGTTCTTTCGCTCTAGTCCAAGTGCTCACCGCGAAGTAACTCGTGGCTGGTAACGGTGTGCGCTAGCAACGCGCGATTGGCAGTTTCGTCGAAGGAAAAGAGAGAGAAAGAGAGACTTTAGAATACGGCCGCCTACTCCCTATTACGCTACTCTTTACGGGCCTATTCTTCCTCAACCTGAAGTGGCTGCTCAGACCGTCACTCCAGTCTGGCTGGTCTCCAGGAAGTGGAGTTCGGGCACGGCATATTATCATCGCTGTATCGTTTGCGGAGTGATAATCATGCTCGCGGAGCAAATTAAGAATTAAAAAAAAAAGTAACAAGTATCCTGTCTTCCGGCAGCTATGAATATATTCTGAAACTAAAATGGAATATTGAAAGCTAAATGATGTATTTACGGGAAGAAACAGAATTTTAAATGACGTTTTACGTATTTCGCGCTTCATAACCATAAAACCAAAATCTTATAATTGATTTTCATTGAATTTAATTTTCTCATTTAATTAATTTAATTAGCGATTTCGATCTCGACGATATTGTTTAATTTACACTGCTGTTTCTCGTAAGTGTTTTCTTTTGCCGTCACGATCATTATCGTCATGACTTATCTTCATTCCGAGTAACGCTCGCGCTGGCTGGGCTCGAATAGCCAACTCATCTACCGGGATGTAATTTGGGGACCCTTGCGCCAGAGAATTGTAACTCAACCGATTCATCCACGGGGATCCCTCGAGCCATGCGCCTATACTACCGTGGCCGTCGACGGGTATAGGCAAGCCAGACTTGCCTAGTGTTTATCGGCCTCGTTGGTCGTCCATGCCTGTCTGCGTCTCTTGTCAGCCTATCTACCTATCTACCCGCTCTGGATCTACTATGTACTCTTCTCTTTTCTCCGGCTCTCGGCGTCTCTCGCTTCGCTCCGTCATTTACCGTCGTTACTCTCTCTTTCTCTTTCTCTCTGTTTCTCGGCTCCGCCTTTTATCCGAAGGGAAAAGGACGAGACGGTCTTGGTCGGTAACGGCACTAAGGTAGTACTTATACGTGTCTCAGTGAGACCTTTGTAACTCTTTCATCCGAGAAAAAGCTAGGAGTCTGATGAGATGCGGCGAACGAGAAGAGTTGGGAAGGCGGAAGGTTAAGGAAGAGCGATAGAGATAGAGGGAGGAAAAAGAGTAGGAAAAAGAGAATAAATGAACGAGTAGGCTCGGAGAAATCTGCAGGATACGCTTTGATTGAGAAGACATTGACACTCTTGCCCGTACCCTTTTGTGCTTCCTTTGTTTCTACGTCATTCTTCCTCCTCGTCATATTTCTTCGCGGACTTCGATTCATCTCACTGGAAGTCTGTGAAGTCTAAGTATAAGGCTCGGATTCGCCATCGTTAATTTGCGAGGGGTGGAGTTCAAGATAAAGGATGTCACGGTAACTTATTTCAGGATTCTTTGTGTGAAGATTTGAAATACGTTTATAGTATTAATGTTATATCTGTAGCTAAATCGACCACGCGAAAATTCATTAAAGTAGAAAAAAAGGATATTAATAGATTTATTAATATAATATCTATAAATATATAATATAAGACTAAAATATGCTCCCGCGCATAACCAGTCAAATTAATTCAAAACCAGATTCCTAACAAGACGAAAAATATATAGCGATCGCAAAAATATTGCCATTCGCTTACAATCATAAATAAAATATTGTCATTTGACATGAAGTCCCGGTTATTGCCCGTCGTGAAACGATAACGACGATAATGAGAAAGTGAATAAATCGTAAAGCGATAAGAGCGGATGAAGTTAAGCCGCAAATACCGGATCGCTTTCTACACGATTACACGTATCTCTAGCCTTACGGAGTTTCTTTGCGTTCCGAGAATTATAATTACCTGCGACAAGAAAGATCCTAAGAATGAGTCGCGCTAACCTGCACGGTCATTCAATTACAAGGGGAATTTCTCTCGTGACCAACTCGCGCGCGGGGCAACTTTTCAGCAGCTTTTAATCAATATAGCTCCGTATCACCGGGAACGTGATTTTGCGATATCGAGGAATTCGACGCGCGGGCATTATCTTTCGTTTACTTAGAACCCGTATGCCTCGTTATCGCTCTCCGTTACTCTATCGCTGATTAACGTTAGCATACATTCGTGCCTTGCCGCGTTCCTCGTCGGCGCGTTTCCCGTCTGCGTTTGCGAATAATTGAATTACGTAATTATCTCTCCAAACGCGAGCGCGCGCGCCAGCAATACTCCAGGGCCGCCTTCAATTAGTCGCCGCGCCGCCCTTCATCTTCGCATCCACCTCGATCACGCTCCTGGCTCCTGGAAACGCGAAAGCGACGAATCCCGGTCTTCGCGTAAATTCTTTCGCTTCCGGCGAAAGTGTCAAGCTAGAATGTGCGCGACGAGACGATCAATGACACAAACGGGTATTCACGTTTTTAGTCAACAGAATATTTATTGCAGACATATATGGTAATATGTAGAATTGTTTATATTTTCTTAAAATTTTATAGTATCGTTAAATGAAAGTAATTGACCTAGCGATTTTGTTAATGATAATTTTTTAGTGAAGTTAAATGAAAGTTTATAGGATGCCGAGGATACAAGATACACGCCGCTCTTACACTACTCGAGAAGTTTAACATATGCGTTAGTACAAAAGTTCGAAAGAGCGAGTTTATTTTTGTTGTTGCTAAGCGAGTTCTCGCCGGTCGCAAAGCTCGCCGGGATAATTTTCGTACCACGGTGCAAGCTACAGCCCGCATTGGTATATTAGTACCACTATGCGTGTATGCGTGTGTGTGCCGTGCACGTCACGAGCAATTTACGCTTGCGTGTATGGGTGGGCGCGCGTGTGCGTGAACAGTCAGTCGAGCATGGATGCGCCCGACTGTCTTGTGGGTCGATACGATGGTTATACCACTGCTGGGTCTACGGTTATGCACACGTTCACCGTCATTATTTCACGTGGCACCGTCTGTACCTCCTGTCTTGTCTCGTCTCGTTTTTCGCGTCCACGTTCGTCTCATTCCGCGGTTGACACATACTTGCTCGTGCACGAAGTGCGTATACACATTTCTCATTTTCTTGTCGAAATTCTCTTTGCTTTTCCAGAATAAAGTTCTTTGGTGGACTTTTCATTAAAAACTGAAATTTGATCTTTATTTTTTGATATTAAATATCTTACAACTAAATCTAAAACTAAAACTATAAAGTCTGTTAAATTAAAGTTAAATTAAACAAAATTTGTTTGGAATCAATTAAGAAATGTTTTATAATTTTTTAAATAATGTTTTCGTTGTAATATATTTAAATTTAAAATTAGTAGCAATTTTTTGTTTAATAAATGAATTTATAGTATAGGATCTCCGAGTTGAGCAAGCTAGTAAGCTTCATTCATAAGTCAGCCTTGCTTTAAATGACTATGCTTTAGCACGTGGGCGGTATAAGGAGCTTAGAGAAGCTCACACGGATTACATTTGATTCAATCACGAAATCTTATCGTTGCCTACGAAGCATAGACACTTCTCAAAAAGAATCGATTTTAAAAAGTTTTGGATCGAATATTTCTCTTGCATTCACAAGCTGTTTGCAAGAAGTAGGATTACTGTTCGAGTTGAAAATTGAATATCGCTAATCTTGTTGCTCGAAAAATAGATTCTCAGCACGACATTTATTCATGTTTCAACATTATTTGAGACACTATAAAACACGTTACATAAAAATCACGATGGAAAAATTGCGAAAAATAACTTTTATCCGAGAGCGTGCGATTAAGTTGATTTCTAATTGTTAAATTATTTTTTTTCTACGTTGGTCTTTTTATTCTCTTTGTCTTTTCACTTCAAATTCTTCCCAAAATATGGTAATTACATTTAGAGCTTCACGCTTCCCAAAAAAGCCGAGGGTAGAGGAATTTAATTGTCGGAGAAATCGGGAAAAGTCGGGTGGTACTTTCGTATTCTGTCCGCGTATAGCAACGTTGAATTTATCTAGGCGCGAGCGCGATACCTCTCGGCGGAGCAAGGTATCGATTGGCGCGACGGTCCGCCTCGCACAGCTGGGCAGCACGCGCTAGCCGACCGGCCGGCCGGTCGACCGGCGCTCTGCGACAAAGTGACGCGTGTAAAATTATGCAAATCGTAGGTGCAGTTTTTTTTACCCGTACGCTTTATCGGCCTCGGATGTTATGATGCGCCCGGAGCGTAGCAATCGGTTAGACGCGCGACGCGTTTGCCCCCGTCGCGCGCATCCTGCGACCTGCAACGCTCGCGCATTAACAGTGTCCACTCCGCTTTGTGTTCCAGTACGGCAAACAGCTCCGAGAGAATTACCGAGCCTTCAAGAACAAGCAGTGCGAGCAGAACGGCAGCGGCAGCCCCAAAGAGCAATACAGCAGCTACAATGTGTCCAATGTAAGTGCTATACGTATATATTTTCGAGTGAATGCACAGGATGAACGTACCGAGTTTTGCAGGACGACGAAAAGAAAGCTGGGAGAATACAGAGAATTTTCATTTTTATCAAGTCGATTTTGTTGGTTGTACAGTTGTTTAGGTCCTTCGCAATCACTCGCATAAAGTTCTGGATATAACAAGAATTTTTATCTGAATCATTGATGTCTACTTAATTTTGCTAATATAATTACGTTAATGAAATCAACGTTATTTCGCTAACTATGCCATAAATTGATATATTAATAAGTCCAGAATATGTTTTAAATGTACTTTTCACTGTAAAAAAATTTTGTAAAATTACAGGTAATTTTGAGACCCACTATAATAGGTGTAAATTTCCACACATTTTTAATTTGTGTAATTATAATATAAAATTACTTTTTCCTTCCGTACTGTAATTTTGTAAAATTACAACCATTATATTGTATAATTACAACTATTAGTGGGTCTCAAAATTACCCACTATAATAGTTGTAATTTTACAAAATTTTTTTACAGTGTTGTTCATTATACGTATATATTCATAAACTAAAAATTAATTTTTACTTCATAAAATGATCGCAAATTCGATTGCGCCGTATTATATAGTAATCGCGAGTTAAACTCAAAGAGAAAAGAGCAGATGCGTAAAAAATGCACGTCAATATAAATTGCAACTTGTGTAGATAAAGATGGATAGAATCACGTATCCGGTGTCTGCTGGCGAATTATTTCGCTATTGCGCGCGCGCGCGTGATGTATTTTCGACGGACGCTCTCTCGCCTCGGATACGCTCGAAAGGTAAATTTCGCTTTAGACGCGGTAAATGGAATGGAAGAGGCGATTACGCTGAAATTACCTCGAGTGACAGTAATTTGCCGGGTCACGCCACGTTCGATCATTGCCTTCAGTTATCCCTTTTCCTGCACGAGCCGTCGCCTCTCGTCGAACTTTCATAGCGTCTACGGGGTCTCGATTAGCTCGCGCGATGTCGCGCTTTTCAACGCCTTCTTTTGATTAACATCTCCATCCCTTTCTTTATTTTCTTTGTTATTCGACTCTTGATGTTTTTCTCGACGAAATGCTCGAGATTCGCTTAAATTTAGCTAGCAGAACGTAACGACAATGCCCGGGGTGTTTTGTAATTGTTTTTTTCCATCGAAAGTTCTTCGCTTTTTTACATTCGAAATAAAGAAATTAGTTTATTAATTTTTGTACGAATACTCTGATAAATAATATTCCCGCCGGGCAAACTATATTATTGTTCTCCGTGGGTTGTGCGCGTGTTTATCGGCTACCTCTAATTGATACACTGAAATATAAGGAAATTCATTGCGAATGAATGAACGAACGGAAATACGAGAACACGCATACACGGACGGCATAACGATGCGGCGCACTGGATGCCGATGCGGTTAGCGACTGAATAATTATAGCAAATAGCTCGTTAACTATTGATCTTTAATGCGAAATTCCGCGTGAAATACGCGGAAATCATCGGAGTTTGTGCTCGGTCGAGATCCTATTCGCTATATGTTCGTGTATTCGTTACTTCGTTATCGCACAGGTGCAATAGTTCTCTTTCGGCTGCTCTTTCTTTTTCTCCCCCTCTTCTCTCTCTTGGTGCATGCAATGCGCCCTGTTTATACAACGGTTAAGCTATACGGCAACGAATTTACGCTACGACTAGCTGGTATCATGAATTTTATTATGGCCGGTGCTATACCACGATAATAAATTCATCGACCCACGATTGGCTCGTTTCTCGGATTTGTTACGATTACTCGCATCGGTTGATTGAAGACGAAACGAAAGCCGGTGGCAAACTAATTTAATAATTAAAGAAAGAACCGCCTTTCAAGCAGTTGATTAATCAATTTGTTTAATAAAACTTCATTTAATTCGATTAATTACGATAATTTGATTAACATTTTTGCAATTTATTTGTGAGATATATGGATGGAAATATTGAAAACAGTTCTGCTTAATTGGTAGATATGAAGCGAGTGTGCATTTATTTTAGTTGTTGAAAAAACAAATTGGTTTGATAAAGAATTTTAAAATACGTTATAGTGTTATTATACGCATTTTTTCAGGCACCTTCCATAATTAAATTTTAATGGATTAATATATTGACAGCGCTTTACGTTATCTGTTAAAAATATCGCGAATATACCAATAAAGCGTAACAATAATGAGATAAATGGATAAGAGCATCGATTATATTAAAATGTAAAAGGGAAACTTTTATCGGTTATTCTTTACGATTCTCTTTATTAATAATTTTCGCGAATCTCGTTCAGCGAAAATTAATAGTTTAACGGCGCGTGGCGTATTCGCACGATATTATCGTCAATTATCGAATAGCTGCTATTTATATTACATTCAGGTTGAAATGGCAAATAAAAACGAAATGGAAACTTTGCGAAGAAATTCGTCGCGTTGATGTGCTCGTCTTTTTCGATGTACGTACGAAATTAAAAGGAAAGGAGGAGGTGTTACTTTCATATTCTTTTTACGATTCGAAAAGCAAATTTTCTCGGAAAAATGTCGTCGTAACTTAAGCAAGGAATGCTGAGAAGGATCCATCCCCATCGGATCTTAGTGACCTCATTGTCGTGCCATCCCCGACCTCGTCGACGAGATAGAGGCTCTCTCTCTCTCTCTCACCCTCCTTCGCTCCCCTTCCTTCCTTTCTTCCTCTCTTCCTTCACGTTACTCTTCGAGTCCTCCTACGCGCGCTAAGACGTCGACGCGTCTCGCCCGGTAGGAAATTTCATCCTCGTATCGCACAGCTGATTCCAAGGTCGTTTCCGTGCCAGCCAGCCAACCAGAAGGACGACAACCCCTCGTCGTCGGTGTGTACTCTCAAAGCTAGACACGTACCGATCTACCCCCGTCCACCCTCTCGTCTTGACTGACTTATTTCTTCTTCCATCCCTCTTTTTCCCGTCGTTAGAAAGATAAAGATGTAGTTCTTGTTCTCATTATGATCGCCGTCGCCGATGCTCGGAGAATTTTTCAAGTTGTTATCGATGGACCGCGAGAATTGCATCATATTTCATATGTTTCGAAATTATATACGTAAATAATAAAGAGTATAATTCAAGATAAATTTATCACTAATTTTATCATTAGTTAATATGTGCTTGATTAAATTACAATACGTGGAAAAAATGTCAAGGTCAAAATGTAAAATTTGTTGACACAAAATTAAAACAAAACTTTTGAAGATAAAATTCTTCGTTTAATACCGAATATTTTTGTTCATTTCACGAATGTACTGAAATATTATATTATTATTTGAGTTCTTTATGTTCTTTAATAATATTGCACAAGATTTTTTAAAGGCATCGATGATTTTGTTCTTTTTGTCTCCATAATCTCGGCGACTTATCGTAGTGGTTTTTTCTTCGTGATAATTGTAGGATGTCGTCCGTGTTTCTTTGTATAGTCGCGTAATTGTTACAATAATGAAGTATCCGCGAAATCTCCGCGAGGAAGGAGATATCGATTAGTTGGAGTGGGGGCGTGTGAGATGCATTATCGAGTCGCTTTGAAGAACTGGTTCTGAAGTAGCGATCTTAACGAGTTTCCGGCAATAAATTACTGTTCGTGCTAGTTATGAATTATCCGCCGAAGGAGCACGGAGGATGACAATTAAAGCCCAGTATGGAAAATAACCGGTATTACGCTCCTAATGCGCAAAAGAGAAAAGATAGTTGAGCACTATTTTACAAAACACCATAATTGATAGAGGCGGTCTGACATGGTTCAACGACAATTTTAGAGTAATGAGAAATTACGCTCTTTATAATGTGGATTTAGATAATTTTGCCGCGATAAAATAATTATAAGCGAAGAACTAATTATTTTGTTGCGAGTCTTCTTTCAAGCTGGTATATTAATTAATTTAATTAACGATATTTGAACATTTTTCTGTAATTATGTAATTCTGATATTTCTGATCATGTACGCTGGCAGCAGAAAGTGGAAAAAGAGAGGGAACGTATAAACAAATCATCGGAGAAAAGCAGATGACGCGAGAAGCGCGAAGGACAGAACTTCAACGATCCTCTCTGAAAGTCTCATGCATTGTACATCCTTGCTAGGAGGTCCGAGGGACGAAAGCACAAACCTGTCTTGCACTTCGTTTCGGTTGAAAGCTTCGATCATGGATATCGTTCGTTCGTGTCTCGCTTTTATCTTTATTCCTATAAGGGAGATAGAAGCGCGCTTCGCGTCGCGACGATAACCAACCGACGCGACGGGGCGAGCTTCGCATTTTCTCTCGCCTGTATTTTCTTCTGTTCTTCGTTGCATACAAGGTATACGAGATTGAACATTTAAATAGGTGGAACGAAGCTCTGAAGTAAAGTTCCGTGCGAAAATTAGTTGAGTCCAATCTTCTAAATTTGAAAAGATTTCTGTCAAAGAGATAAAATAACAAAATTTCTTTCCGTTACATTTTAAACGAAATATATTTGCAAAAATATATGCGAGAATATGAATATAAATAAAATATTAATTTATGATATAAATTTTTATATTTAAATTTATCGTATAAAATGTATTAGATTTAAATTTATTATATATGATAATAATGTATTATTAAATTATTTTTAGGCACATATTTTAAAAGTTATTAATATAAATCGATACGCTAAATTTTAGTAATATTTCTGGAAACACATTTTTATTGAACACTTAATTTTATCCTCGGCTTATATAAAAATTGTTTTATTACAAATTTTAATTTTTATTATATCGAATAGTTTAAATCGAAACTCTGTGTCGATTGATATGGCTAGACGATATCGACCATTATGTTTCGCTCTTTTTCGTAATTGTTACGCCATTTCATCAAGCTCAACGAGTATCTACCTAGATCGCATTTAACAAGCTGCGACGTGAAAGCGTAGTCGCTCTGCTTTTAGTCAGACATCATATTTCCTTTAATGGTACGACGGCCAACTTGG